GGAAGATCCTACTTTCCTAGTAGTAATTAAGCTATACTTAGCTACTATACTTTTAATATAACTATCTTAGTATAGCTAGAGTTTTATCTAATCTCTATCTCTAATAATACGGATATTTAAGAACTAGTTAGCTTCTAGTTCTTATAATTCTTATTACTTCTTAATATCGTTATCTAGCTTAGCTACCTACTTAGTATAGTAAGGATCTAGATAGTTTATAACGATAATATCGTCTATATAGAAGAAGACGATAATACTATTCTTAATAAAGATATACGGATCTTCCGGTATTAGGGTAAGGCCTAGTTTTACTAGTATTCTTATTACTTCTTACTACTATAATCTTAGTAATATTTATAAGCTATAGAGAGCTCTATAGAGTAGCTAGTATTAACCTTATACTTCGAATCCTTATAGGTACTTAGTATAAACCTTACTTTAGAGTACTAAGTTTAGGAATATATTAACTACGTCTCTCTATATTATATCGAGATTAAAGGCTACTATTAAGATAAAGATTGCTCTCGCTATTTTAATAGCTAGAGTAGCTACCCTTTTCTCTTCTATCGATATCTATTAAAGATCACTTTTAATATAGATTCTCACTTTAAACTTCTCGAGAAATCTATCTATATCGAATTTATAGATAAGGACCTATTTTAAAGGTAGTACCTAGATTCTTTTTTAATTCGGAATTAGTATTTTGATATAAGTCTCTTTCTTCTTAAGTATCTAAACTTCGAAGCTTACTACTACTATAAATCCTTCTTCGAACTAGTGCTTCTTAATCTATACCTAGTTCTTTAGTAGCGGGGGAAGTTTATCTTAGTAAAGCTTCTTATCGAATCTTTTACTTATACCTATAGAGAAGGTATATAGTAAGCTTAGTAGATCATTTTGATTATTATTAAGAGATAGGTATATAGTATAATCTAGATCCGTCCTTAGTCTCCTAGATCTACTACCGGTAATAATATTTAATATATCTATATTACCTAATATATCTCTTAGTACTCTTTAGGATAATAATACTTAAAAGGACGCTCGATAGGACGGGTCTCGATAGAACTACTCCCGATAGAATAATAATAATAGTACCGGTAACGGCGAGTATACTATCTTCTTTTATAGCTATCTCTCTATCTCTACTTCGTTATTACTTACTTCTATATCTATATCTCTATCTACCCCTCTAGTTTCGATCGATAGGATCACGGAGATCGGATCTAGTAAGGATAGTATATCTAGGAAGCTTCTTAGTAGGCCTCTCTATAGATTTATTTGCTCTCTTATTATTTGCTCTCCCTTTGTTTGCTTCCTTAGTCTGATTATTAACTATAGGGTAGGTAATCTAGCTACTTCCTTTCTAACCTATAGTAGGGTTCTCTACCTAACCTCTTTTTTATTATTATTTCTATTATTTCTATTAACTAGATTATTAGCTATATTAACTATATTAACTATATTATTAGCTAAATTATTAGCTATATTAATTGTATTAATTTTAGCTTGCTTAGTATACTTAGTTTTATTATATAGTGCTATCCTAGCTATCGATCTCGGTATCTCTATCTAGATACTAATCTTAGCCTATACTTTATTATTAGTAAGTATTTATAGCTATATACCTAGTCTATCTATTATAGTACTAATAGTATCTTCTTCCTTAGATATCGATTTCGAATACCTCTTTAATTTATCGAAAACGGTATCCCTAACGACGTCTACCCTTCCGTTATAGCCTTTATATAGGAACTATATCTTATATAGGTTCTTCGAGATATACCCGATAAGATATCCTATCTCTACTCTCGGTATTATCTTATCTAACTATACTCTCTTAATAATCCTCGAGTACGTTAGATAGTTATATAACCTTATATTTAAAAGGTTAATCTCTTAGTAATAGATACTATCTAGTACGGTATACTTTATTAGTTCTTTCTAAGGTATAATCTATTAATTCTTTCCGGTATTATCCTTAATCTACGTAAGAGTCCTATTTAGGATATATACCGCTATATATATTATCTTAGGCTAGAGAGTCTTAGGGAGATCTATATTATTAATTAGAACTCTAGTAGTTCTTACTACTATCCCTCTAGATCTCTCGGAAGGATTATTTATCTCTAGTAAGCTAGATAGCGAATACTTAATTATATATCCCTCGGCTTCTATTATTATTTTAATCTTAAGACCCGTACTCCGCTTATTATTATAGTAGAATACTCTAATCTCGATCTTTAGCTAGTTCTTAACTAATATTAAGAACTTCCTAATAATTATTTAGTATTTACTTTTCTTAATATATATAAAGATAAAGTAGTATTTAATACTATCTAGATAAAAATACGTTATCTAGATATATCTATTATAAGTAGTTTGATTCTATACTAGATCGAAGTAGATACGTCTAAATATACTATATACTTAGCCTATTTTCCGGCGAGAGATTTACTTCGGGGTATCTACTAATTAATAAGCTTTATATACCTACTTCTCTTTACTAGGGTTACTTTTAATAGTAATCCCTTTAGTTATCTCTACTAGCTTAGTAAGACGTTACTAACTAATATAGCTTAGGCGCCTATACTAAATTTAGATCGAAGCTTCTGACTTTAGCTTACTTACTAACTTCTTTATAGTAGTAAGAGCTATATCCTTCGACGTCTTTAGTTGTTTTAACTATATTAACTTCTAGTCCTAATATACTTAGTATACCGGTTTCTTAGTTAATTTAATATAGTTCTTCTAGAAGTTTATTACTAGCCCCGCTTTTATTATTAACCTATTAGATATTAGATTACTATAGAAATTAGGCGAGTACTTAGCGTTATATAACTTTATTTTAACTATTTTTCTATTAATAGGGCTAATATTATAGATTACTATAGTACCTATCCTATCGATATTTGTTTCCGTATCTCCTACCCTAACGCTACTCTATATATCTTCGAAAGTTTTAAATAACTCCTAATTATTGTAGATATATATCTACGCGCCGGTATCGACTACCTATCTCCGTCTAATTGGTTCGGCTTCGTAGATTTAGATAGATATAATAGTAGTAGAGGTTAGAATTTACTTACTAGCCGCCGGCTTGCCTACCTTTAGTACGCCGGCCTATAGCTTAGCTACCTAAGGCTTACTTATCTTTAGTACGCCGGCCTATAGCTTATCTTCTTTTAGCTCGCCGGCCTAGGGTTTTCCTACCTATATAGAGAAGAATCTATATAATAAGTTATCCTCTTTATTATTAAGGGTAGTATTTACTTACTACGCTACCTTCCCTTATAGGTTTTCTTAACGTCTCTTATTAATCTAGGCCTTCTAAGTAGGGTTAGCCTTTATAGCTTTCTCCTATTTCTACTTAGCTTCTTTATTTCTAGTATACTTAGAAGGTTTATCCTTATTAAAGACGTCCTAATACTTCTAAGGTAGGTAGCGTCTATAGTTCTATCTATATAGATATAGCTTTAATTTAAATAGTAGTTCTTCTCTAGCTAACTTCGTATTAACTAACTTTTTATCCGAGATTTTTAGCTTAGCTTCTTTATAGCCTTACTATATCGAAAAAGTAGCTTTAGAGATACCCTTTTAATTAGTAACTAGCTTACTATAGGTAATCTTCTAGTATACTCGATACCGATTAAGAAGCTTAGTAAATCCGATATCTTCTTTATCTTATAGTCTTAGAGTCTATATCTTATAGAATCTAGATAATATTACTAAGATAGTATTAAGGAATTAAGTTAAAATATTATTTACCTCTATTATTCCTACTTTTTTATAGCTTAATTAAATTATCTCTTAGTTTAATAGCTATTTATCGATATTTATATTTTTATCTAACCCTCTATCTAGGCTTCTTTATTATTAATAGAGCCTAGTAAAATAGGTCGGATTATACTCCGAGGCGAACCTTTCTCGAAGGTTTCGGAGTAGACTATATAGAGTCTTATAGTCTATAATAAACGGCTAGAAGTTTATATAAACGCTATTCCGGATTGCTATTATAATTATACTTAACCCCTTCTTTTCCTAGGTATAAAGCGTATTCTTTATCGACTAGTTCGATTAAATCACTTTATAAGTATCGACCTATTTATCGCTATACTTCTTCTCCGCTTCTTTAATCGATATGATCTCTACCGGAGCTTTCCGTATCTCCGGTTCTTCTTCCTTACTAGGATTATATAGCTCCTAAACGTCAAATTATACTATAATCGATTCGATATTAGCGATCTATATATCCTAAGTTTCGGTATCCTTAAGGATAACGCGGGAGGATAGACCCGCGGAGAGATAATCGGCTATGATTTGGACAGATTTCCGATTTTCTGATTTAGGGGTTGCTTCGTCGCTAGGTAAATTTCCTTAGTATCGATTGGAAGTAGGGTTGATCTTTGAATTAATGTTTAAATGGAACAAAGCCGGGCTTATAACTGACAGAAATCTGACGTATTGAAATGTATGGACCTTAGGGCTGATATGGAGAACTCTGCATTTTCTACATAATAGAAACTGCTGTTTCTGTGCGGTTTATGACTAAGCTAGATTACATAATCTGTATCATCCCATGTATGCAACCTTGCAATTTGACAGACTGCACTAATTAAATTGACAATACGGTGTAGTTATATAGCGGTGTGGAGAGCGGTGCGAATTCAGGTATCCAGGCATCAAATTCCCCTATTACGAAAGGGGAACCTAACCCCCTGCCTTGTTTTTAGACTGGAATCCTTTCATGTTTCATCAAAATGTTATGGGGTTCGCTTCTTGGCACTGTCATCCTTATGAAGCATAAAGCCGAAGATGTATACATAATTTAAGAGTGGGAGAATATCATGGTAGGTATAGACCTCGGCATAGCCCACAAATGGGCCGGGACTCCCGGCCCAAAACCCAACCCACAGTCCATTAATGGGGCCCATAAAAAGCCCATAAAAAGCCCATCTCTATGCAGTCTTGGCACGTATAAAGTAGAGTACTGTAGTAGTTCATGGCTCCCAAGGGCCTCGGGCTCGGCTTCCTGTGAGAAGCTGGGGGTTTCCGTCTTCCTGAACGAGAAGCACATCTTCATGTCTTACTCCGAATTTATCCACTAGATAGATTCCGGGCTCCGAAGTGAAAGTCATACCAGTTTTTAACAAGCTTGCTGTATTCCCCTGGTTCATATACGGGCTTTCGTGGGCTGTTGAAATGTTGTCAGTTTGGTCACTTGAATGACAGAGTTGGATAAAACGGAACCTTTGATCCCAATACCATGCCCCACACAATGCGTAAAGGCTTCTCCATATCCAGCATGACTGATCACGTCGCGTGCCGCAATGTCTACACTGGCTGCGGTCATATTCTCGCGCATTTGATCAATTGAGCGAGTTTGCGCCTCGAAAACGATATCCCAAACCTTTACCAAATTTAGTGAGTTAGATGCAAAGAGGGAATAGAATGTCTTACTTTCAGCTTCTCTCTCATGTGCCGTGAAACCAAATTGCCTTCGGAAGGCTTCTGCAAGAACGGAGGGAAGAAAGTGCGGCAAATATCCGACGAGTATCCATAGAGGTGTGCACTATTTGAGCGTTAGATTGCAAAATTTATAATGATTGCCAGGAATACGAACCCGACATCGATCAAGACAAAGGTCTCGGCTTCCAAAACCTTAGACCCATTAGTTCCACCATGCGGGTTGGATGCATTCTCATCGAAAAGCACAATGTCGAAAAAGGGATCCAACCCGGCGGCTCGAAGGGCATCGTCGAGGGCGGCAGCTATTTCATTCTCCGTCAATCCGGGGTAGAGGCATTTTCTCATCTGTCGCACCGCCTCCACAGTTCCGGTATTGACCGCGCGCAGAATTTCAACCTCCCGAGCAGTTTTGATCTGTCGAACTTCCTCAACCTCGCCCTGTAGACCGACTACATCGAATCCCGCAGCTCCAAGTCCGCGCTGGATGAAGTCTCGCATTTCTTCGTCCACCATCAGGCGTGCTGGTCGACGGAGGGTCAAGAACACATCCGATTGCCAGAGAGTAGTGTACGGATTCCAGTGCTCCTCCCACGGAACAATTGATATTTCCTCGGAAAAGGGCATTCCAAGTAGACGGGCACGTTCAGCCTCAAAGGATGGGCAGAGGAAGGTGGTGTTGGCCTTGACGCTGCCCGTGGCTTCGTCGTGGAACGGGCGTATCACCATCAAAAAAGGACGCTCTTCCGGCTATATCGGTGAGTTTAATTCGCCCATGAAGCTCTTGAGGGATGTCTTACCTCCCACACTTCCCACTCGGGCTGGCTCACGTTGCCATAGTACTTGAATGTATATCCCGGTTCCACCACAAATGCATCGGCTCCCTCAGCGACCAGTGCTAGCGCCAATCGATCCCGTCGCTCTTCAAAGTCTGGAACTGAGACGGGCGCGACATCTTTCATGAACGGTAGTCCTGTCTCGAGAAGGTTGTTGATTGCGCATTGTTGGAAGGCTTTGACGCGGGCGGGGTTGTCCGCGTCACTTTGATCCGGGGCGAGGGGATTTTGGACTCCGAGCGACCATGAATGACGAGAAAGATTGTAACCTGTGACTAACAGAGCAGCACTAGCTATCGCCAACGCAAGGCTTCGAGCCGAGAAGTGATTACGGGGGTTCACCTCCACGGTGCTGAAGGGTAGCTGTTTCGACATTATGCGAGAAGTTGGATCAAAGGAGATTGAAGAACTCCTAGCTTGGGAAATCAAACGCCTAAACCCGGCCCATGGGGTCAAGAGTGGGGGTTCTCTTATCTCGTCTTGACCTTCCTATTTTCGCATTTGCTTCCCCGCCTTTCGTTAGTGCCAAAGTCCAAGCTCCGTTGCATTAGTTTCAACGTCGGCAGTTGCTTAGATGCCCTTTGACTGGCCCAATCGGCTGCAACTATCTGCAACTATCTCGGATGAATCAGGCCTTTCCCGTTGCGGGGATGTGTTATAAGATGCGAGCCATGTCCGAATCTACTAACTGCAGTCCGCAGTACCCGCATCATGAGCGATCCTACGGTAGTCAAGACACGTGAAACGTGTAAAAAGGGTCCAGAATCAAAAGAATTGGACGTTCAAATGGGGACCTCGCTCTCTCCTTCCCCAGATGCACCTAAACAATATGCGACAGATGATCCCCAAAACGGTCGAGGCTACTCACGCCTCTCCACGGTTATGATGGTGGTCTTCAGTGGCCTTGCTATTGGCTCAGATGGCTTCAACGCTTCCATCATTGGGAATATTGAATTGATCATGGCAGTCATTTATCCGGAGTCGCTGACCACGGCTGTAGCCGCTCGGCTATCCAACGCATTCATGGTCGGCATGATTATTGGAATGCTCTCATTTGGTTACATTGCCGATAAACTAGGCCGCAAAAGTGGCGCTGTTCTAACTACCACAATTTTGGTTCTGGGAATTGCGCTGAGTGCCGGTGCCAGTGGGTTGACCGAGGATGGCATGTTTTGGATGCTAATAGTAGCCCGAGGAATTGCAGGTGTTGGGGCGGGCGGGTGAGTGACCACTACTTGCTGTCTGATATTTAACGCAGTTTGCTGATCCGACGTGATTAGAGAATACCCCGTTGCAGGAGCAGGTGCTGCTGAAGCCACAGACGAGGCTCCGGGAATTCGTAAGCGAAGAGGCTTCATTTTCGCAATGATTGCTGATCTATCGGCGTCTCTTGGATTTGCCTTCGGTGCTCTGGTGCCACTCTTGTTGCTCTTGTGTTTCCATCAAAGAGTGCAACATTATGAAGCTGTGTGGCGAGTCTCCTTGGCAATGGGAGCCATCGCTCCTCTTTCGATTTTCTGGTTCCGCTATCGGATGGTTGTCAGTTCCGCATATCGCAAGAGCTCTATGAAAAAGCAGAGACTACCCTATTGGCTAGCGATAAAGAAGTATCGGCGGCCGTTGGTGGGTGTTTGTGGCTCGTGGTTCATGTGAGCACCTCAAACCGGTGGAATTTCATCGCGGTAGCTAATCGTACGGCCTGCACCAGTTACAACTACATCTCCTATCCTTTCGGCCTGTTTTCATCGACCATCGTCGGTCGAGTCAACCCATCCTCGTCCTTGGCCCTCACAATGGCCTGGGGAACGTTGATAAATTGTTTCTACATTCCCGGTGCATTCATCGGCGGTTTCCTCTCTGACCGTATTGGCCGCCGCCGCACCATGGCACTCGGGTTCCTCCTCCAGGCAATTCTTGGGTTCATCTTAGGAGGAGCATTAGGCCCTATCCAGACAAATCTGCCGTTGTTTATCGTGCTCTACGGCATATTTCTTACCCTTGGAGAGGTCGGCCCAGGTTCCACAATTGTTCTCACTGCCAGTGAAAGCTTTCCCACATCAGTTCGCGGCCACGCAGTCGGATTCGCTGCTGCTTGGAGTAAGGCCGGGGCTGCAATTGGAACTCAAGTCTTCAAGCCGATCATGGCTAATTGGGGGGGATGATGATCTTCATGGAACCCAGGCTGTCTTTCTCATCGGATCAGGATTTGCTGTTCTCGGGGCTTGCCTGGCCTGGTTTGTGCTCCAGGACTGCAACAAAATCCTGGATCATGGTGACCAGGAGTGGAAGGATTATCTAGTCGCTCATGGCTATACAAACATTGAATGGGGCGCTGAAGAACAAACGGCTGTGCCAGACCAAAAATTGGCCGACTAGAGCCTTTAATTGGCACGATGATTGATGCGAACTTGAAAGCATAAGGAATCTAGAGCAACTGCTCACGGGCACTGGTTGAGTTTATTTTCTTTAAAGTCAATCGGATATATCTAATCTAGTTAACCCTCATACACATATCTTATTTACCTTGGATTTTCAAATGTTCCGCTCTACGTGGATTTTACGTATAGTATAGGTACCTGCCTACATACATAACTAGGTAGCGCCATAGTGCTATGTCTATGGATATACATTCAAATGGATATAGAGTGAGGTTACCCGATTTTAGCCATGTTGGACTTTTCTGCATATTTGTCGAACAATCTCCCATGCATGCAAGCATGTTTGCCATAGACTGAGCCCTTTATTTGTTATTTGCTATTTGCTAGCTTGTTTGCTACAGTTGAGCATAGTTTAGATGGTTTAACAGGGTATATAAACCCCTGCATTTCTAGTTTAATCAATTAATCATTCTTCTTCTGCTTTCTCCCCACGCGGTAGTAACCTAGATCAACAGGTTGCTCAGCAATATTATCAAATTTTGTTTCACTATTACCGAAAGCAAGTATTAAACAAAAAGCCCTAATCAAAGATGAGTACTACCCTATATATATAATCATCCCCCCTTTATATCGATCATGGCCGAAGGCTTTGACTGGAGATCGGCCCTAATCGGTTTAGTCCTCGTTGCTAATTTTCAGGAAAGTCCAAGTATCGCCGGTGGAGGCCATTCCATACACCCCACAGTTGCGCTTGCCCTCTGACTTGCGGGCTCGGTGAATACAGCCTATACTAATTAGCTGTTTTTGAAAAAAAAAAAAAGGAACCAATGTAGATATTGAGATACGGACCCATGTACCCGAGCAGTTGGGCAATCGGGTTTGTCGCCTTGGGCGACCCCTTTGCCTCAACAATCAAAACATTGAGGCACAAAGCCTCACTCACTCCGTACCAGACACTGTAGTCTGGTCGGCCACTCAAGATGACCTTCTTGCAGTTCAGCCACACTGGGCCGAATTGGTAGGTGATCGTGATCATCTTTACTGGCGTCCTGGTCGTATGGAGGGCGTCAGACAAATCTTTCAGGGAGTCTTTCTACGGAAGGAGACATTCCTCGCCGGGAACCGATCCTAGGGCATCTCCTGGTCTCGAGCAGCAGGCCGACCATGAAGCTATACCCCTACGGGCGATTAAGTATACCACCGGCACATAACTGTCTCATTGGTTCATATAGCCAGGCAGTAATTGAACTGAATCTGAACTGAATCTGAAATGAATCTGAAATGAATCTGAAATGAATCTAGATTAAATCTAAATTAAATTGTATGTAAATTCACCCAAGTGGATCTTTATAGGGTAGACTGTTGTATACAGATTTAAATTAGCGTATATGTTTCAGAAAGGTGGTGATGAAAAAATAGTGAGGTAATAACCAACGACAGAGTTCATACAGCGCGTCTATCGTATCTCACGATAGAAGCAGCTGGTTATGAGTCGAGAGATGCTTGGTCGATGAATTGCACAGGCGCAGGCCTTTCCGGGTCCGGGTCCGGGTCTGGCGCAACGTTTGCCAATGTGACTCTCAGTTCTTACGGACTACCCGGGCCATACTCGTATTCTGTGCTGTGAATACTACTGTCGATTGAATACTACCTACCGCCTGAGAGCAATACTGTCGTCTGGGAATACTGACGTCTTACGGAATTTACCAATGTCGTGTACATACTGAACGTTGCAGCGCATACAAGCTAGTGGGCTACATACGACCCAAGGTCGTGAAAAGTCTGAGTAATAAGTCAAATCAAGTCCCTCCCCTGCGGGAGGATGCACCACAGGCCAACCACAATACAGAGAAATCCACTCAGCCCCTGAGTTGAATTGATAATAGAGTATAGAGTAATGCTAAAACACCCTCCTGAGCCCTGGAACTACTATGAAGAAGTAATTCTGTTTTCGAATTTGGTTTAGCGTTGAATTTATCTATTTTGCAATCACCTACGCCTTCCAACATTGTAACCACCGTATCTCCCCTGGCCCGAATGACTGAGATGAAGACTCAGCTCGACTGCAATGTGGACAGCAGCGAGATGAGTGGCCCCCGATCAGCGATCACGTTTTTCTCAGCAGCTCGAATGAGGTCATCTTTCATGGGTGTGTTATTCTGCTCCGCTGCTTGCACGAGGCGCTCTGCGATAGATTCCAAAAATCCTGCCTCAAGGAATCTCCGTACTGTCTCATTATCACCTCGCTCGACAATTATTTCTGCCACACGCTGAATATCAGAAGCGGGGACCTTTCCACCTTCATCCACGAAAAAGATTTCCACAATCTCACGAAGTCCATAATTCTCCTTGGCCTTGCTGTCGTAGGGATGAAGTTCTATCACCGATGCCAACAGACTTCCTCCAAGCAAAGCGTCGGGTTCGCCTTCGAGCCACATTAAACCTTCTACCGCTTGCAACTTAATGTCGACTGAAACTTCTCTGCTACGCCAAATACCTTCAAAAACCTCTCTGGGAGAAAGGTTGAGGTCTGGGCGCTGTTCCAATAGCCAGGGAAGCGACTCTGCTGTACCATTACTCAATGCTGCTTCAAATACCTTCTGTGTGATAGGAACGGGCCCCCTCCGGCGAATGATGGATTCAATGGTCTCTTGACACCTATTGCCTTCCGTCGTGCGTATGATGATGTCCTCTGTGATCGGGGACTTGCAGTTGTCTTTGTCTAGAAGGAGCCGCATTGATCGAGGATCGACAGCTGCACGTGTCAACGCCGGGTATGTAACTCTGATGCTCGGGTCATAAGTGAATAAAGCTGACACTGCTTCAAAGCCTCCAGCGACGGCCTCAAGAAGTGTCTCATCAGCCTTCACGAGCTTTCTGTCAAGGAGCAATTTCAAGATAGTAGGGGGAGGTTCACGGTCCATGAATTCCGCGAGTATACGACTGAGAGGAACAAATTCGCTGTTCCTATCTAGAAGGATACGAAGGAATCTATCTTCGTCTTCGAGAGCGGCTGAGACCCAGACTTCCTCTGGAATCGGACCCTGATAGTTATCCAGTAAAATCTCCAATCCGTTTGATCCGGAGTTTATGGCGTTCAGCATCGCGTCAGATGTGACAGGGATAGGGGTATTGTGCAATTTATTCAAGTAATTAAGCAACGAAAATGCGTCAAACTCGTGCTGGGCTGCAATCCCCACCATAGCCTCAGTGACAGAGAATTGTGATGCGGAGTAGTCCACGAGCAATTCAAGAATTTCCAATGTATTGTTCGGTTTGAAGAGGGTACGGGTGATCAAATTTTCAGATATGTCGACCGTAACCACCGGGCTGCCGAGAATGATTTGGAACATGGCCAATCCGCTGCGATCGTTATGATGCGCCCAACCAAGAACCTCTTCATCAATATTGGTCCCAGGCTCAAGTTTGTCAATCACAAATTGCAAGATATCTGGACTTGTCCTGTTGCCCGCGGCGACACAAAGAACTTTGTTTGTGATAGATGTGCCCGGATCGCGACGATCCCACAATAATTTAAAGACTGATAGCCCGAACCGATTATGTGCCCCGGATTCCAGAACTTCTTCTGTCACCCGGATATCTGAACGAGCCTGAAGAACGAACTCCATATTTTCAGCATCAAATGTTGAGGCCATAGTGCTAACAAGATCGTCCGTCATGATGAGCGAAGACACTCGACAGTGCATGAGGACAGAAAGTCCACCGGACTGCCCTATCGATCCACCATTGCTAAAGAGGTCAGGGGGGGACGTGAATCTCAGAATCGCACTTTTGAAGCAACAAGGTCATCAATTCGTCACCACGATAGGAGCTACTCATTGCCAGCGATAGGGTATCTTCAGGAAGGGTGAATGAGACTGACCCTGCCTCGCGCCAGTCCAGAAGCTCGCTCAGTATTGGAACCGATAAGTCATGATTCATCAGAGAATGACGAATGAACTCTTCGGAAATAGTTTTGTTGGTGACTTGTGACTGATCACCCATGAGTCCCATATCCCACATTGCACGTAGGACCTCTTGCAGCTCTCCTGTCATTGTCTCGTTTTCGCCAGTACGGAAATCAGTATCCATTGAGCGAATCATGTCATTCGCATCTTGGCTATTGATCGGGAGATTCTTCTTTAGCAGCATGCTCACTACTGCAAAGCGGCCCGTCGCAACGGCTTCATCCAAAGGAGATCTGAGGTCCCCGGGCTCTTCGAGTGGATTTATGCCCTGCTTGACGAGGGTATCCACTGTGTGTGTGAGGGAGAGTTCTATGGCTCGATAGATGGGTAGCGGACACTCCTCAGGAAGCCAATTCCATTGGCCACCGTTGGGATTGTTGTGATTGTCTGCTATGCGAAGCCAATTGAAATAAACAGTAGGCTCAGTGAACAGACGGTCCACTTTATCCTGAAGGCCTTCGGGCCATGCGGAAGAAGTTCCTAATGCAGTGGTATAAGTCGACCAGTAGACTGCAGCGAAGACCAAGAAGGGCTGCGGCATTGCTGTCTCTTTGTCCAATTGCTTATTCTGCTCAAGGAGCGAGTCAACTGTCATCATGGCCAAGGTTTGATGCGCAGAGACCTCAAAGAAGCAACACTCATTGCTATTCTGGCGATCATCTGAATTGACCAGGAATTCTTTCACAGAATAGTGCGCTAATTTGACCAATTCACCCGATACCGAGAGCAGATATGATGTGCATATTTCCACAACCCATGCAGGTGACGTCAAGCCCCCTAGAGATGCGACTGTCTTTAAGTGCAAAGGACCCGCCGGGAAGCACAGTAGCATTAGCATCGGGCGAGCAAGAGACCCATAGCCGTCCTCTACAATCTTGTTCACAATTGCTTGATAGGTTTGCTCAAGGTCCCTGGGTAGCGTGCGCAGAGCCTCCTTGATTAGATTCTCGTTGGGGCACTTGTTCAGTCGTTCGATCTGGAGACTAGCCCACCTGAACCGTCTAGTCAAGAAGGTTTATCAGTATACGCTCCTCGCAGGGGCTAACTTTCTGAGCATCATGTCGACATACCGTTCTCCGGTGCTCAATAGAGCTTCCAGAATGGAGGCTTTAATTTCCGTGCTCACATCAACGAGGTGACCGTCCTCATCGTCGATTTTATCGCGCACAAATATTTCCACGTCTTTTTCTAGTCGAGCTGCTAGGTCAATTGATGGGAACATGTCCATTTTTGTCACGATATCTCGTTCCGGTCGACCAGTAGCAACAATGTGAATATTCTGGTGTCGCTTGACAAGATTGACCAAGAAGTTAAGCAGCTGCTGTCGCTCTTTTTTGTCTGTCGGGCATTCATCAAGCGCATCGAAGACAAGAAAGACGTCCTTAGGTGTGCTGGTAATCACATCATCAAGCATGGTTAAGAAGGCTTCCCGGTTTGGCTGGCCACCTCTCCTACTGTGGTACTCCCAAGCCTCAGTGACCGAGTCTGCCAAGGGGCTTCGACTGAGCTGCCGAATCAAAGATCGTATCATCTTTTCCACACTGCGTTTTTGCGTGAATTGAAAATACCAGTACCCTAGCGATTTTGATCCATCTTTCTTGCATTGATCATGAATATCCTGGATGATGGTTGAACTATAAAGAATAAGAAATCGCCCACAACGGACCGGATTATGATACATACCAAAGGATTGATTTCCCACAACCGACTTTCACAAGACACAGGGGTATTAGTTGATTTTCCAGACGAAAACATGGACCAACTTACCAACGCCAGGAAGCCAGAGCATACTCCCGGCAGAAGCCTTCCAGTGTTCATATTCCGTTGACTGGAGAAGCCAATTGCCTGTATCAGGAGACCGTATCTCCTGGTTATCACTTTGAGTCTCTGAGAAGGGCTCATTTGACACCCATTTCATGATGTCCTTCTCTTCGTCGCCTAAGGAGAAAATCAATCAACTCAATACTGGATCGCATAACTGACTGGCGTGGGTGTCAAACATACTCAGAATTTTGGACCGAATGCTCATTGTGATGGCGTTGTTTTTGTCCAGTAGGTCAAGTGTGTCTTTCGCTACTTTCCGATTACCTTTTCTCTGTTAGTATCTGTTTTCGGGCCTTAAAGGAAGCTGACGTACGGAGGTTCTCCGTTACATTTGCCCACCTCTCTGCGTCGAGGCGATTCTGCTCAATTGCGGCTTTTAATTGAGTAAGGGGATCATCAGCTATGGCTCTGACACTTCGAGCCATTTGACCTGGAAGAGCGTTAGCGAAGGCTACCCTCGAATACGACAATACCAGCGGAATGAACGATAGGTCTTGTACCAATAAAACTTTCCTGGTGGCGTTTGGTCACTTCGGCCGTATACTCCAAGATCGCAGTATACACCCGGAGAAGTGCGCGGTCGAAGTTCTCCCCGCCTTCCATCTTGTCATCACGGTAGTGTGCATCGATCAAAGCATAATAAGCAAGGCTTTCAGCCAGATATTCCGATGATGCGAACGTCGCATCCCGACGAGTGTTGTTGTTCGAAATCATCTGTTTGTCTATCAGCCGACTACCCGGAACAAGCAATCTCGATACCCAACACTTACCGTCAGACCAAGCGACACGACCGACCATGCCGCCGAAGCTAAAAGCATATGAGTGCGACATTCCCCAATAATAAACAGGAATCTTACCCTTTCCGGTCGGATCAAAGGCGGTCAAATTAGAAATAAGAGCCTTGGCCTGTAAGGCTGCGTCCAGGATCTTCTCCGAAGTTGCACGGACATCAATGTCTTTTTCGTCTTTGCGTTGGATCTTGAAACCGCTTTCCTGCCATTCCGTGTACTTGGCCTTTGTCTGCTCGATCACCATATCAATGGCATCCGTTGTGGAGCCAGTACCTTTGAGTGGGACTAAGTTCCGACGCTCTTCGGGGAGACTATTGTACGCCTCCGTCCAGAGGTCTCTTGGAACAGCCGTCTTCTTTCGCATAGGAGGTACACCGGTGCTATGGGTGATCGGTGATGAAATTGAATTAACTTCCCCTTCGCTAGGCGCAGGACTAAGTCGGGGAGGGACTTGGTCGCCATCGACTCTATCCCCTTTACCACAGCAGAGAAATTTCATTACGTGGTGCCAACGGCCTGCTTGGATGGTTTAATGAGTTTCAGAAATCGGAGTCTCGCGAGTCTGATTTTGATCTTCAGTTGGGAAATGCGAGAGGTGAAATTTTTGAAAGTTCTGGATAATGTGGTCCAGCTGAAGCGTATGGGAAATGACATTATGAAGATCTGAACCCCGAAACTGACAATCCTATTTCCTGATTGGCCCCACAGGTCTACGGCTGAGGCGTCGGTCAGGACTAGTGACGAACCATATCATCGTGATAGACCGAAAATCCGGGTTCCAGCCCGGGGATACTCGAAAAAAAAGATCCGGGATACCCGCCAAGCCTACTTATATCATCATCCAATATTGAGTACGTGCCAGGTCGCGGACCTCAGGGATACCCAAATTCATTTGATTATATAAAATACATTTAGTCCAATCATACCAACCCTTAGCGTAGCCCTATACCACACTAAAATGCACTATAACTACTTAGTATATCTATATATATCCTAAATACTATAAAATATCTTTTATTTACTTACTTTTTAATATTATTTCTATATCAATTCTAGGTTATAATATATTTCGTATAATATTAGTATCTTCTAGTATAACCTATACTATAATTTTTATAAACGCCGAGTATATATACTAAAATATATATATATATAATATATAAATGCTCCTTCCTTACTATTATCTTCCTTTTATTAAAGCCTCTTCTATATTAATTATACCGTTCCTTCTATATTTATATTATAACTCCTTTCCTATTAAATAATCGCGTTCTTACTTCTATAGTTATTATTTATATTTTATTTTACGCGTCTATTTATAGTACTTTCCTTCTCCTCTTTACTTCTTTTAATCTTTACCTTTCTATCTATATATCTTTATTATTTTATAAGTATAAGTATAGATACTATTACGATCTAACTCGGCCTTAGCTTTATATAGGTAGACTTTAATAATCCTATAATTTTAGCTACTATAAACCCCGAACCGCTTATCGGCTATATATATAATAAGAAGATCTTAAATATATTATAAAGATATATATTTAATATACTAAATATATATTTAAGCCTAATCCTAAATAATAATCCTAGTTAGAAACTAGCTATATATTCTAATATAATTACTAGTAGTAAAAAGAAATATAATATTAAAGCGAAGGATATTATCGCGGACTCCCCGCTAAATATATCTATATCTCTAAATAAGAAGAATACTAATATCTATAATATTATTATTAATAAATAGTAAATATATAACTTAGTTTTCGGAGACTAAGTTATATTACGCTATTATTTATATAATAAATACCCTAGAGCTAGTAAGTTAATACTATTTATATATTAAGTATATATTAATTATAATAGTATAATATAATAATTATACTAACTAAGAGTACTAAATCTTCTATTAAAATTATTATAGGATAAAATATAATTAAGCTTTAGATTCTTATTAAAGACTAGTAGTAAGCTAATTATATATACGAACCTAATTAGGATCCCGCTAATAGTATAATTAATTTCTAGTATAATATTATAGAAAGAATTACGTAAGTTAAGTATATATTTTATATATAATATTATTATTTTTAATATATATTTAGAGAAGAGGATATTTAATTTATTATTTAATTTAGATACTATTTCTACCGATTCTTAGTTTTAAGAACCTCCGGCTCTTATAACTATATTTATTATATATATTATCTATATTTAATATCCCTTATTTATAGAGAAGTAATACTAATATTTAATAGTATAGATCTTTTATAGATATCTTAGTAATCTCCTTCTAGGGCTTTAGAACTTCTCTTAATAAAGAAAGTAACTCTATAAGTACTTATTCTAATAATATAGATACTAGTATTAATAGTATCGAGGATAATAGGTAGTAGGATATTAATTATAAGAAAGAGTAGATATCGATAGACTCTTTTATAGTTTTTATCTTTTTTTAAAGATATATAGAATATATAAAATACTCTAATATAAAAGATAATTACTATATTATTATATTATTTTAGATATAAAATTAGTTCTTTTTATCCTATTAAATTACTTTAATATACTAGTATTTAAAGTATTATTTAGATATAAAATTAGTTCTTTTTATCCTATTAAATTATCTTAATATATTAGTATTTAAAATATTATTTAGATATAAAATTAGTTCTTTTTATCCTATTAAATTATATTAATATACTAATATTTAAAGTATTATTTAGGTATAAAATTAGTTTCTTTTATTTTATTAAATTATATTAATATACTAGTATTTAAAGTATTATTTAGGTATAAAATTAGTTATCTAATATTTCTTTATATATAGAATCTTACTTACTTTTTAATTTAATTATAGCTATAATATTATAAAAATAAATAAAATATTTAATATTAAAATAAAATAGATTTAACATAGTATATATACTCTTATATTTCTCTATTTAATTTCTCTATCTATAAACTATTTTTTTATATATCTTTTTATAATAATATATCTTATTAACTAGCTAGGTCTTAGCCTAATATACGCTAACTTCGATAATCCTTAAGTCTTAAGTACTATAAATCTTAACCCTCTTATAAGATATATATATAGTAAGACTTCTATCTAAATAAATACTTTATATATATTAAGCTTATATATAAGACTAATCCTAGATAATAATCTAGGCTAGAAACTAGCCGCTTACTATACTATTATCGCTATAGATACGTAGAGGTATAATATTATAGCGACTAATATTACCGCTAATCCTCTATCTAATTATATTAAGACTCTAAATAAGAAGAATACTAATATATATAATATACTAGTAAATAGGATTTAGATATATAGTCTTATATTTAATATTAGGCCGGCTATATATCGATATATCTATAATAAATATTATAGTATAAGTAAGTATATTATTAATATATAATAAATATATACTAATTATAATCTAGTTATAAATCCTAATAGACGTATTAAAATATAGTTTAAGATTATAATTAGATAGAACGTAATTAAGTATTAGATTTTTAATCTTAGATAGTAGCGGGGGAGCTATATATATAAGTCTAGCTAAGGCCTTAAGAATAGAATAATTAGATTTTAGTATAGCGTAATAGAATATATTATATAAGTATATTCTTAGGATATATCTAATATTTACTACTATTATTTTAGTCTATTTAACCCTTAATTTATTATTATATATAGTATACGTTTCTACCGCTTTTTAGTCTTAATAGGAGCTAATAGAGATAGTCGGCGTTAAGTAAGTATATACTTACGATATCTATAATTAAGAAGCTAATTCTATATAATATAGCTTAGATATACCTCCTATAACTACGTCTATAGGGCTAGTTCTAATAGTAGCTTATCTAGCTATAATAGTAGTAGCTTTACTAGGAGTTATACTACTAGTAGTAGTATTACTAGTAATACTACTACTATTATTAGTAGTACTATTAATAGTACTATTATTAGTACTACTACTACTAGTACTATTAATAATACTACCGGTAGTACTATCGGTAGTACTACTAGGAGATAATAAAGATATTAAAGATATTAAAGATAATTAGGATAGGAACTAGATAGAGATAAAGAATATATCTAATTTTTATATATTTAAATTACTTTTTTAGATATATTTAATATATCTAAAATATATCCTTAAGCTCCTAATTCCTAATATAACTTATTAACTTTATTTTATAACTTCCTATTCCTTAGTATTTATATAAGATATTCTTTTTCTTATTTTAAATATAGTTCTTTAGCTTTATCCTCTTTTAAGATCTTCTCGAGACCGATAGATAAAGGCGGAATTAGAGTAATAGATCGGAATAGAGTTAAAATAATAGATTAAAATAGAGTTAGAGTAATAGATTAAAGCGGAGTTAGAATAATAGATTAAAGTAGAGCTAAAGTAATAAATTAAAATAGAGCTAGGATAATAGATTAATATCTTCTTAAAGTCCCCTATATTAAATCGAAAGTTAGTATAGACGAAAGAGCTATTATAAAAGCTACTAAAATAGTATCTAAGCTATCTAAACCTCCTAGTAGTTATATTATAGAATAACGCGTATTATATATATTTAGCGGGTTAAAGAGTTACTCTAGATACTATATTCGACGTTTTATAGCTTAGCGGGCTTATTAATCTAAGATAATATTAGTTTAGTCTTTTTATATTTATATTATATATTAAATATATAATATATATACCTTTTCTCTATATTCTCTTTATAATCTTAGTAGTAAGGTTTTAATTCCGATATTTATCTAGAAGGCTCTTTATAGTCTTTTTATATATTATCTTCTTAATATTATAAGTAAGTTTCTTTAGCTTATTTATATATTAGTTATATATTAAATATAAATAATATATATCCTTACCGAATAACTATAATTAATAATACTTACTTTTAACTAGCGGCTTTATTCTCTTTAAAATAGCTATTTTTATTAACTCTTATATAATAAGTAGAATTAACCTACTAAGTAATAGGAATTCGAGTAAATTAAGAAGAAATACTAGCGAGAAGCTAAGAAGGGAGCTTATTCTTAAATTAATTCGAGGTTTCTAGCTATTTTTTTATCGAATTACTAATAATCTTCTATACTTACTTAAGAAAGGTAGTAGTATAAAGATACTAGATAGTAGAACGAGCTAGATATAAATAAAATTTCTTTATAAATATATATAGAATATATATAAAGTATATAATATATATATATTATAACTACTTATCCTATATAAATCTCGAATTAAGTCCTATAAGATAATTACTAAACCCTTAATTTAATTAGTATAGAGATAGTATATATATAGTATATAGATAATATACTAGGGCCCTACTTTTTATATATATTTATAGTAATCGTTCGAATACCTAAGATATTATTATTATTTAGTCTAGTTTAATAGGCCTAATAGACTAGCTATTATACGATATTTCTAAGGATTATAAAAAGCTTTTTAAATATAATACGATAGT